CAAATAGAATATATGAGCTAGTGTGGGGGCCAAACACATAAAATTTCATCTAAGCTCTCTCTCTAAAACATTTATGCCTGCATGTGCCAATCCTCGGGGCCACACCCCCCTAGCCATGCACTAAGCTTTGCCATTGATGAGTAGAGACCATGCGTTGTGTTTGCAGCAGTACGCCGACATCCTGATCTTTGGCCCACCGCCTCTTGCGAGACAAGTGACTATATGCCGCATTATGATTCTCATCGAGGGGGGTTGGGAGTGTGTTTTGGCCCCAGGTAGACGTGCCCTCAGCCGAGTGGCCTCGGACGTAACTTGTGTTCAAAGACTTGATGGTTCACGGGCTTATACAATTCACACCAGGTAGTGGTTTGTAATTCTTATATGTTTTAAGTCGATGGTAGGTCTAGTATGATGTCAATTTGGTCTATGGCGTAGTAGGCTTGAACTGTTAGTTGTGGTATGTAAGATGCTAACGTCGTGAAAGTACCTAGTTTAAACATGTGTGTTCAAATGAGCCTGTACGCAAAAATGTTTGATTTTTAAGGGATTAAGTTTCAGAGGGTATGCTAGGTGAAAAAAATGTTTAATCCTTTAAAAAAATATAAGAAAATAGGATAGGAGGAGGAAGGTTTTGCACTTTTAAGATAAGGGTTCTGCTATACATGTCCTAAAAGGAATCTCTTCGAAGATAGCACTAGAGTGGTGAAGTATTACCATATCGTAAGGTAGAAGGTTTACTACCACAACGATGACGTGCATGTCGTATAGTATCGGTTATAAATTATAACGTGTCTAATTTTTGAAAAAAAATATAGCAACGGAGATTTTTTTAGGACAAATACAATAGTATCATTCTTACATGCTAAGGGCGTCTACAACGCGGACGCTTAGCACAGACGCCATGATGAACAAATATCACTAATCCCATACATTTCCCACGCCTTGAGAATTACTCGCGCATGAGAGAAGGATAACAACCGGACAACGAGATTATGCAAAGGGAAACCATCTCAATAATATCATAGGTCGCATGTTGAATGATTAAACCAATCTCAATCTCTGGACCAAAGTTAGAATAGAGTTTACAAACCGTAGCCTTACAAGTTGGAATCTCTCTCTACGACGATGTTATCATTGGTGCATAGGGAGCCGAAACATATCTAAGTGAAGCAATTCTCCTCCGGATCTCTCCTGTCTGCTCTAGTCGCGGTTCATGGTTGTCTTGTTGTTCTTCTCTGTATGTCGTCAACACAAAAATTGCTTGTATAGGTGAGGGGAAGGCAGCCCTGCCTGGTACGAGGAGCGGTACAAGTGGCGATGCTCGTACCACACGTCGTCTTCTTCTCTGAATGTGCCAAATGAAGATCTTTCCAATTGG